TACCGTGATATATCGCATTACCGAATACCGGCACAAGTCTAGTTCGAGGTCAGTCTGACCCATATATTTTTGTTCAAAATTGCCGCACATACAAAATAATAAAAAAATGACTATTTGTAGTGACAATTTTCACACTTAGGAGCAAATAACTACAAGTAAAATCGGTATTTCACACTATTTGTAGTTAGTGGAAGTAGTGTTCATTGCTATTTGTGCCTTTTTGTTCTCTTTTTCTCAAACTCTTGCAACAGACTAATAACTGAGATCCAAAACACTAACAATCAGAAATAATGTTTGACGGATCGTTTGACTGTGATGCTCAAATAGAGGAAGAAAAAGTGAATTTTTCTTAATATTTGAGTCTTGAAGTTCTCATGTAATTCATATTTTAGTCTTTGACAAGCTACAATATATATACAGTATATATTTTTTTTTACACAACTCTTTAATGTTTTCCAAGGGTTGAGTTTTGGCAAATTGCATGGAAACTAACAGGGGTCAGTTTGACCCCAACCCAGAAGTCCTACCAATTTTTGTACAGCCTTTTCAAAACAAGTCTATGTGTCGAAACTTTGCATGCACATTCATAATGCTAAATGAAAAACATACACCAAATTTCAAAAGAAAATAATCAGTTTAACTAGTACCTCGAGCAGTTTGAAAATATGTATGTGGGTCAATTTGCCCCAATATAAGACAGCCTTTCCAGAACACATCTATATGTCGAAACTTTGCATGCACATTCATGACCATAAATGAAAAATATCCACCAAATTTCAAAAGGAAATAATCAGTTTAACTAGTATTTTGAGCAGTTTGAAAATATGTATGTGGGTCAATTTGCCCCAACATAAGTTGTAACAATATTTGCACAGCCTTTCCAGAACACATCCATGTGCCGAAACTTTGCATGCACATTCATGACCATAAATGAAAAATATCCACCAAATTTCAAGAAGAAATAAATAGTTTAACCAGTATTTCAAGAAGTTTAATAAACGAGTGTCGGCCACATTGAGTCCCCGGCACAACAGAAGGGTTCAAATATATCATCCACCCTTTACTGTAGATCTCAAACCATTATAAATATTAAACTCAGAATGAGTAGCAGGGAAGTCAGTGCTGTTTTATAACACCGTCTGTTCCGTCTGTGTTCAGATGAGCTGTTGGTGATCACCGCCGCGACAGAAGTGAACGATGGCTACCTGAGGTTCATGCGCACCATCCGACAGTTCAACTACACCGTTCAGGTGTCACGTCTGCTGTTTGCCTTCAAATCTGACGTTTCTGTAGTTAATATGACATCCATTTCCAGTATCCGTGTGCAAATGTGTGCTTTTATGTAGGTTCTGGGGCTGGGTGAGGAGTGGAAGGGTGGTGATGTGGCGCGGACCGTCGGCGGAGGTCAGAAGGTTCGATGGTTGAAGAAAGAACTAGAGAAACACAAAGACAAGCAAAACACGGTTATCATGTTTGTAGACAGGTGAGAACACAATGACATGACCTGATTTCTCTATTCTCTCTTTTTTTTGCTCCGTAACAATATATTCTTTATTTATATGTAACCCTAGTTGAGTATGAGGTTCCATTTGTGCCAAAAACAATATAATCTTTATTTATATGTAACCCTAGT